AAGAGCAGTCTAGTTGTAGTAGTATTTCTTTTGATCGAGATCATCGTGTTGGTCTATGTATTTAATCACTGGAATCGGAACTTTGATATTGGTTGGTTTTCGCTCCACTATAGCTTCAAAGCCAGTCTTCTTATCGGACTTGTAATGAACGATACGTTGGTGTCCATCAGAATCTAACAATTCATAATAACCTTCGACTTTGTCATCCTTTCGAGATTCCTTTTGGCTTTTTATGTCTTTTGTTTTGGGATCTTTTACGCTATAACTGAATTCATAGTGAACAGGACCCTTCTCGTCATCATATTTCTCTTCATGATATTGTGAAGTCACCACTACTACAAGGCAGATAAATAGCGCTGCAATCTGAAACAACAAAATTAATCAAATTAATTAAAAATTTAACTTATAAGTCCATTAAAATATTGATCCTTCAAATGAAATAACAGAGATCACCAGTCGACCTCTGATATTAGAAATAAGAAATCACTTTTGGAAACTAAGTTTTGTTAGCAGGATATTGTTATATTTGCATCCTTATAGATACTTTGATCCTTTAACTTAATGAAAGAAGGATGTAAACTTAATTAATATTATTTTATACCTTCCACGACATATTCAGTTAGTTTCTAATAAATGTAAATGAAAACTCGCGTTACTGATGTACTTAACTTGCTGACTTAAAGTTTCGAGTGCTTATACCAAATGGTTCTGACTTAGTTTATATAGGAAAACGATTGAATCAGCAGCTGATGAAATATGCTCCAGTTGAAGTGGGCATGCCCAACTAATTACTTATAAAATATACTTCGAAATTTGGTGGCAGCCTACAGAAGTCAATCTAGTTTTAATGGAATCGTTGTATGTTTCCCTAACGCATAACTCGAGTTAATCAGCATCGATGGTTGACCTCAAACTTAATTAAGTCTAGATTAATTTTTGCAATATTGCAAATATTTGGCTAAAATATCTGGTTTTTGCATCATAAAACTGCGTTTGGCTGTAGGATCCAGTTTATTTGTGGACACAATTTTTATTTGCGCATTTTGAAGTTATTGAAAAGTATTTAAAATTTTAATTCATTCACTTCCAAATATGTGAAAAGTTACTCCGCTTGACTAGACAATTATACGATTTAATTAAAGGTTTTAGAAGATAAAGCATTATCAGTTAATATATAATTAATTAGAAAAATGAATTATTCAGTGAAAAAATCTTTCGCAATATATGAAATAATTTATTAATTTATTTAAAATAACTATAACAGGCGTAGAACTTCTCCTATGACATATTCTGCAAAACATGTCTTATCTCCTACATATGCAAATACAATTACTGCCATTCACCGCATTTCGCCATAATTTTTGGCAGTAGTGTCATATCTTAATCGCCACACTCTTAATAGATTAAAGCACATACCTATGAAGGAACAACTGCCTAAATGGCAATATTGTCAATTGCATGGCAGGTTAATCTAAGTTTTGCCCATCTTTTTGTTCACTTGTGACGTCTTTCAGCTAAAACCTTTTTTATAATATTTCATGATATTTTAAAAAAAATCTAACCTAAGTGTTATGTCTTTTTCTATCCACATCACGCTAGCAAGAGCGTGTTGCCAACATCGGAACAAATAATAAATTGCCAATGTCATATTAGATATTAAGGACCATACGGTTCAGCCACGTCTTTATTTCATTATTTTCAACAGCCACTCTCAAGTTCTGTACTTTTCTATTTATTTAGAAGAGACCCAAAACGACCTACGAGTTCCTTAAGAACTATATCTACCATAAGTGGATATGTCAGTAAATATTGCCTAGATTAGTAAACAGGCAATTCATCTACAATTGATTCCTTGCAGAAATGTATTTGATTTGTTTTTCATTTCTTATAATACATTTTCTGATTGAAATAAAGCGGAACCTTCTCAGCACCATAGTAATGAAAACATGGTATGAGACTGTGTCTACCCTATAGCATGATTGTGACTAAGAAGAATAGAATCATTGTCTGTGTTTTATCTTCTTCGTTAATGCCCATCAATGGTCAATAGAAAATTAAAAGTTTTTAGCGCATTTTTTCTTATCGACATAATAGACCTGTCATCCCGGAAAATTTGGAACTTATCCAAGTTTAGATTTCTCAGGTTAATTCACTTTCACTTGAATAGTCTGTTGCCGTTGTCTCTACGCTACCACTCTGGTCCTTTTTGGTTGCCTTCTGGTATGCGTATGAACAATACTAATTCATGCTATCACAACGAATCTTTATTTGAGCTCAAGTGGGCTTTGCTGTGCAAGGTCGCCCCTCCAACCTAACTTAATCCACTGTATTATCTCTACTCTTTGCATTTATTTTTCAATTCTTTAAATTAGCATCTATATATCGAAACAAATTAGTTTATTTATATAAAGCACTGTTTATTTTTTTGTTGTCAGTGAATATCAAGGAGCGTTCCAATATTAGTACGGTATCAGTAACGTTAGCTTTGGTTGTATTCATTTCTAGACCTGTATATTCCACCTTGAAGGTTCAATTTCTCTGGTTTATATTATGATTCAAACAAATCTTTAAAAAAGGGATGGGTTTTTGAGTCACACTCTACACAAACTCTTCAGTAAAATCCCACACACCGCTCTAAAATGGAATCCGCAAGGAAGAATAAATAACGATCGATTAAAGACTACATGGAGAATCGAGCAAATCTTTCAGTGAACTAAAAGCTAGCGCGTGTTAGAAATAGTTGAAAGTCTTTTGTGATTAGAATAAGTTCTTGAATTTATATTTTTGAATATGTCAATAATAATGAAATAATAATACTATGATTCATTTAGTCTTTAACTAACAAGGCGTATGTATAGACTTATTCAAAATTATTTAATTATTTAAGTAGGCCTCTTTGCATGCTCTCCTTGTCTACTTGTTATTGACGAATCTTACAGCATACATAAATTATGTACATAAACCTCTCTTTCCCACATAGTAGTTACTTAATTACTATCTATTCTATCAACCAAGTACGAATATGCTGGTTACTGGTATCATTTATAAATGTAATTACTTTGTAGTTCTCTATACAACTCTGTCTCTATCTCTCTGTGTTTCAATGATTCCTCTGAAATATAATTGTATAAATATTGAACTATAAATAATCTTTTAATATCACGTTTATTAACATAATTCTTTTATTTTCTTACTTAAAGTGAACAAAATCATTATGTCACAAAAACTTAAACTATATATTACTTACAACAAGTGTACGCTTTTTATTATAGTGATCGATTTCCTTATTATAAATCAAATGATGACCGTTGGAAAAACTCGGTAAGGCATAATCTTTCTATAAATCCACATTTTCGCAAAGGTTCTAAGGCACCACAAGGAGCCGGACATCTCTGGACAATTTCAAGTGGTGACTCAGCTGAAAATATTCTAGCATGGGAGCATGTAAGTTGAAACATACCTATATAAAGAAAATATCCTAATCACGTCTTATAATCACGTACACGTTTTAGAAAAAACAACGTTTGGATTTGTTCTTTAAAATGGAGAGCATGAATCGTGAACGTATAGAACAACATCAAAAGCAACTTCTGGAACAACAGAAACAGAAACAACAGTGTACGTCAACAAATGATAATTGTCTGCATGAACAACCATGCACATATGATGAAGCAGCTACGGCGGCAGCAACAATCACACAAGAGATGCTACATCACGCTGAGTCTATAGAGAACTGTGCCACAAGTGTCGAAAACAAGAACCTCAATAATAATCATATGCAAATTGTACGAGAATTACCTTTCAACGACCTAATGTGTGAGGATGAATTACGCAAATCCGCTGGTCAAATATTAAATGGAATACATCGAGAAGTAGAAGTGCAACCTGTGAATGCGCTCATTAGCACTTATCACGACGCATTACTAGACAATGGTATAATTTTTTTCAAATAAAGCTTTTTCACGTTCTCTCTAATATTACTTTAATTATTTTCATAGATTATCTCAATCCTGTACAGAAAAATGTGCCTATTAATGGAGAGCAGTCAAGAAGTGTCAATCATATACAAAACTATAACGCCTCATCTCAATACTATATCACAGAAATTGATCCAATTGAGTTGGGCATTCAAGACGAAACGGCTGCTGTACTCTTTAATGACGACTTCAATCTAAACTACTTTAGTTATAATCCCAATAATGATATAGTGGCTTGACCGGATCAAGCTGTTGCAGCAACAACAACAATCACAACAACAGCAACTGCAGTCATTAGTAAATCACTTACAGCAATAGAATCAAATTCAGCTCAGGGGCGCATTCAACAAGAGAGAGAACCACCATACGAACTCTCCATAAGTCTTACTAATAAAGTATAAACACAATTCGGAGCCTTTATTTGTGCTGGATACAAATTAAAAAAATACTTTATTATACATATATAATCTTAGGTATATGTTATAAAGACATCAACTCATCTAGTCGAATATTTAAATATAGCAAATATTTTTTGTATTATTTTAAATAACAATTAATTAATTAATACATTATTATTAAGATTAATTAAGATATAGTATGATATAATTTCACAATAACAAGTTTAGTATAATAAATCTAAAATAATTATCATAGTTTTGCACTATTAATTTAATTTAAACATTTTTTAAATATTCTATTAATAAACTTTTAGTCAAATTATTAAATAGAAGTACATAATTTTTTTTAATAATGTATTTGTTATATTAATATACCATGGACAAAAGTTTTATAACATTTCAATTTTGACTATCTTTAGTCTATCTTCATTTTGACTATCTTCATTTCGATTGTCTTCATTTTGACTATCTTCATTTTGACTATCTCCATTTCGACTATCTTCATACCATGGACAAAAGTTTTATAACATTTCAATTTTGACTATCTTTAGTCTATCTTAATTTGGACTATCTTCATTTCGACTATCTTCATTTTGATTATCTTCATTTTGACTATCTTCATTTCGACTATCTTCGTTAGTAGATTTCCCGCTGCTATTTTAGTCATTACCTTAATATCACTTATACTAGAAAAAAACTTTTAAATTAATACCTTCATAATCCCTCATAGCAGTACAGATTAATTATTCTTGTTGGTATAGAAACTCTAATTATTAAAAAATGATGTTTCACCTCATTTTACTCAACGTCCTATCTTTAAAACCATCAAACGCCAGATCTCATTGTATCAATTTTTAAAGCTGATCTTTGAAGTTTGATCATTCACAAGGTATTAGAACCAAATTGGCTTTTTCAAGAATAAAAAATGACTATAAAATAGGGGCCAACTATATATCACGGAGTCACTCACCGTAAAGCTCTACCCATTAAGTTATATCATTCGCAAGTCAAAATAAATAAGCTTTCTCAGTATCAAATATTTCTCCAAAGTATGGAAACAACTTTGTTTATAACTACTACCATTGATTGCTCAATACCGCTTAACAAAATTTATAAGGTCAACTAAACGAACTTCCCTAGAAAGGACGACTCTATCTAGGGCATAATACTTACTTAGTTGACCATTACAAACGTAAGTCATCCTTGGCCGCGTCGAGTAGCCTCCGCCAGTCAGCCCGATTAGTTACTTGTTGGTAGTATCAAGCGCCCCCAAATAGTTGGTCACCTGGTCCATCCACCAAAGATGCTAGGGCATAATACTGCAGTGTATTTTGAAGAATATCTTCAGAAACCACTTTGTATCTTTTGTGAATTTGATTTTAAACATATAAGCACATAATTCTCTACGAATATCCTAAAGTGAACAACACTAGGCTTATAAATCGGGAGGACAGACTTGTTGTCTCCTACAGCATATGGAATAACACAAAACCCTCAAAGATGCTCACCTACTTTAAAAGCCTATTGATCGATTTAAACTGAATTTAACACATGAGTTACAGTGTATAGTAATCTTCGCTTTGTAATGTATGTAATTATGTCCACCAAGTTAAAGTATAGAGCTTCTGTTATCAGTTTAAATCAAACTCTCTAATGAAAATATGTAACAATGTGTCTGTTAATTCGAATAGGGATGGAGACGCTCTTATAAGTCCGCGTATGTGGAGTAAGTACTGAGAGCGGTTCAACAAATTTTAGAATTGTGAGTATTCACTGATTTGAATTGTTATTTATGTAATGGTTTAGTAATGAGGATACAATCAAGACTGATTACCACACATGTGAGACTGACCAATAATGATTTTGTAGGGATTCAACAAACACACATATTTAAGACCTTTTCCTTGGATTATGTTAATATTAATATAATTTGTGTAATGCGCATACTGTATTTAGACAAAAAAAAAGCTAAAGCTGAAATTACAATCCAAACTCTAGTGTGAATCCAGTATGAAATAATCTTTCTTATCCTTATTTTCTTTTTTTATACACACACCACTAAGCGCAGTTTATGTGTAAGAGTTTTGAACATGCGAAATTCGTCTGGTGCGGCCTTAAATAGCACCCGTGGCTATCCAGAGCTATTCAAATTATTATGAAATATTTATAAATTAAAAATATAATGGAAAATAATATATAAAAAAATGTGAAAGCAACAACATGAAAGTTCATATACTGTTTACCACTCTCGCCTTTCTCATATTAATATGAGAATTAAATAATAAATAAAGTGTTTATTTTATAAATTTATATTTTTAAAATTTATTTAAAAATTTTTATTTAAATTATTTAAATTTATAAATTTATGTTTATATTCTTAAATTAGCATTTGACAAATTTACAAATTATATTTGAACCTTAGACATTTTTAATGTATAAAATTATTACAATCATAACATACGTGTAATGCAGAACAATAGAACAATAGGTTCCTATGCAAAAATATTGCCAAATGCCAATATCTTCGATTTCAATTTGCATAAAATATTCTTAATTATATGTAATTGAATTATAATATAATTATTTATATAAAATTTAATCAAATCAAGTAATCAAGTAATCAAATAAAATTTAGATAGTATTTATTAAGTTAAAGAAAAAAATTTGAAGTTGTTTAGTCATTTAGCTGTCACTCTCATCATATGGTGGGCTACTGGGGGAATAGGCTGGACTGGTTGGACTATAACCTTGCGAGAGCGACGTAGGTGAATATATGGGTGAAGTTGGAGAATAGTTACGTGCGTTCGGTGAATAAGTCGGCGACGTTGGAGATGTTGGAGAATATTTAGGACTGCTTGGGGAATAAGCTGAGTAATTTTGACTTGTACCAGAATAACTAGAGCCTGTAGGGCTGTATTGATGTGGTGTATGCTGCGGAGAACTTGGAGAATACACCGGCGATGTTGGCGAAAAGACTGGCGATGATGGAGAATATTTTGTTGAGACTGGTGTATAGCGTGGAGAACCTGGTGAGCCATCATACGATGGTGATGGCGGCGAATAGGTTGGAGAAGATGGCGAATAATTTCCACCCGTTGGTGAATATACGCCCGAACCAGGAGAATAATTTGATTTTGAAAAGCTTGGGGAACTTGGAGAATAGGTCGGTGTAACCGGTGTATACGTTGGCGATGACGGTGAATATGATGGTGAATTCGGTGAATAACTTGGTGAATTGGGTGAGTAGGAAGGGCTTGATGGTGAGTACGATGGTGAATTGGGAGAATAAGAGGGTGAGTTCGGAGAATAATTAGAAGATGTTGGAGAGTAAGCGCTATTTGGTGAAAACCGCATTGTACCACCAGAAAATGATGGACTTGATGATGTAAAGTTTGAAGATGGTGAATAACCAGGCGATGCGGACAAATAATTTATACCGGCCGGAGAATATCCAGTTGAACCTGAGTTATAATTGGGTGTATTTGACGAATAACGCGGACTAGACACGTACATAGGTGAAGAGGGTGAGTATGTAGGACTAGATGGTGAATAATTAGGTGACGCCGCAACAGGGGATGAAACTATATAATTCGGACTGGTAGGCGAATATAATGGTGACGGACTTGGAGATTGAGTAAAGCATGGAGACATCCCTGGAGAATTCGGAGACGATCCGGGATGGTTTGGTGACCAACTTGGTGACATGCCAGACACTTCAGATGTTGATGGTGAAAAACTAGGACCACCAGGTGTCATACCCACTATAAAAAAGTAAAAGTTATAATTTCAGTTTATTTTTATTTTTTTTTTAATATGTTTAATATGTTTACGTTGTCCAGTTGGTGAGAAATAACGTGGTGTACTGCAATTTATCCATGGTGTCTGTGGCGGTGTCATGCTAGGCGTTGCACCCGCACCAAAGAACATTGCAGAACCTGCAAGCATATTTGGACCTAAAGTACTTGGTATTTCAATACCGTAACGACATTTTTCTGCATCCAATAATAGATCAAAGCAACCTTTAAATTGATGTGTGATTAGTATATTGTATGAGTCAAATAATAAATAAAAACCTACCAGTTCCCATTTTAGGTAATTGTCCCATAATTATATTTTCCGACACTCCTCTCATAGGATCAGTTTCTGCATGTGCAGAAGCATCCATCAACACATCAACAGTTTCCTCAAAAGAACATCTCATTAAAGCACCAGTATCTTGACGATTTATACCGTGACGTGTAATGGCCATCAAGTGACCTTTTGCTGTCATTACGTCACACAACAAGGCCAAATGACGATAGTTCACGTAAAGACCATAGAACTGCAATACAGCGTTCATCTCTTTCTCAACAGATTTACGTACAGCTTCAATACCCAATACTGTGAAAATTTCACAAATATCATTCGATGAGGTTCGTACTGGGTCAACATCTCGTTCCGACAATACTTTCATCATTGATGTACCATCAGTTTCCAATAGCCATTCTCCAATAGCTTTAAATTCTCCCGTTTCAGTTATAATAATACGTTTTTTGCTGTCTGTTTGTGGCAAATGCATGTATACTTTTCCAATCGCTTCAATGCCTTGTAATGTCATATCAGATAACATATTTGCCTCAATGCAACGCAGAAACATGTCATCTTCCATCTTATCGACAGCCTCATCCTCATCTTGAAATTTATTCTCTTCATTGTTCATAATACGTATACGCAACACAAGCTTGTCAGCATTGTCATCGTTAAATATGCAATTTAGATCATCACCGAATCCTGCATTTATTTTTTCAGCAATTTGTTCCATAGTTAATTTTTTATCTGTCATACGTTTACGATCCAACTCAATACGCAGTAGCCAAGGTGAAATGCGGGTTGGATCAAAATCAGGCATTTCATAATAAACATTCACAAATTCTTGATCCTCCGATATAACTGTACGTTGAGGATCTGGATCATAATAAATAGCTGTGTTAGCAGTAACTTTTCTTAAAGTTGTATGTTCTAAACGACACAAAACGTTTTTAGCCTTTTCGGCATCACGAGCTGCACCACCAGTTAGAAAAACAGTAAGTGAAGGAGCCTTTGGCTTCTTCGAAATATTAATAATTTCTTTGAGACGCGGTACACCCAAAGTTACGTTTTTCGAAGATACACCAGCAAAATGGAAAGTATTCAATGTCATCTAAAAGACAATATTTAATCAATACATTAACTTTTTAGTAACAGTTACAAATAATTACCTGTGTGGCAGGTTCACCCAAACTTTGGGCAGCTAAAGCACCCACCATTTCGCCTGGATTAGCTTGAGCCTGTTGGAATCTTGTCTCGATTTCACCAATTAACCACTCGAAAGCCTCTGTGGACAATCGAAACTCTTCAGCTACATATTTGGTACAAAGCGTTGAACGTACCAAGCAACGGAAGAGCAAAGTAGCGTTTTCGTTTGCTTGTTTCGACAAGCGATCATTGCCAACTACAATGACGCAGCGTTGTAACAAATCGCGTACACCGCTAATCACACGCAGAGGAGACAAATCAGTAGGCATACGTTTATTTATGTGGAAAATCTTTTGTACATTCCAAATCATTCTTTGTAAATTGCAAGGCAATACAACCTATAACATAATTGTAGGAATTTATTATAAATTTTAATATACTTCGATGAAGCTCAAACCTTGGAATCGCCGTTGGGAAAAATTTCACGTAATGCTTCGCGATCTCGACACAATTGTTCCCACTCAATTTCTAACTCCGGTAATGCGGATCCACTTTCACTTAATTCTTTAATAACTTCATCAGTGAAAACTTTACGCATGTACCGCTCGTTGGACCAATCAAATTTAAATCGCTTTTCAAAGGATTTATTTGACAGTTTTACTGTTGGTAAATTTTGAAATTCCACTGTTTCACCACAAAGACCGTCTTCACCATAACGTAACTGAATCAATTGGCCAACAGAATTTCTAACAGTGCCATCATAATTAACCATAACAGACTCCATAGCCTTTATCAAACGACGCTGAATATAACCAGTTTCAGCAGTTTTGACAGCTGTATCGATAAGACCTTCACGACCACCCATAGCGTGAAAGTAGAATTCGGATGGTGTCAGACCGGCAAGATATGAATTTTCTACAAACCCTCTAGATTCAGGACCATAATCGTCTTTAATGAAATGTGGCAAAGTGCGCTTGCGAAAACCGTACGGAATACGTTTACCTTCTACGTTTTGCTGACCCACGCAAGCAATAACTTGAGAAATGTTAATATTTGAACCCTTAGAACCTGAGACCACCATAGCCTTTAGGTTATTATATTCAGTTAAAGATTTCTTAGCTGAACCACCAGTTTTGTCACGAGCATCATTTAGGATACGATTTACTTGATTTTCGAATGTCTGCCTCAATGTGTTACCTGCAAATTATAATTGATATAAATTAAAAAAATAAATTTTAACTGATAATAAAAAGTATATATACCGGGTGTAGGTTCCAACTCCATGTTATGTGCCTTTTGAATGACATTTATGACATCATCTTTGGCTTTTTTGATTGCCATCTGAATTTCATTATAGGTCTGAGGATCAGCAATTGTATCACCAATACCGATACTGTGACCTTCTAACAGTAACCAATTGTTTATTACAGTCTGAATGTTACCATAAAAGCGACCTGCGATCTCATGACCCAATTCCAAGAATACAATATGAAGTAGAGAACCAGCCGAAGTACCCAATGTTTTCTTGCACAATATGCCCATAATAAGTTCACCATGTTCTACCATTACTTTTGTGTCACCTGGTGAAATCCATTTATATGGACCATCATCCTCTTCATCAGGATGTGTGGAATGTGTGCGTATCATATTCACATTTCCAGGTATAATCAATGAAAATATTTGTTTTCCTGTCCATAACGGACGTGGTTTTAATATACAAGGTTGTGGCATCTTTCCATCCCAAGTGGGCAAGAACATTAGCAAGTTCATCATTTGCTCACGTGTTATGAAAA